ATATTTATCCACCCAAACCTTGTTGGGTATCAATGTTATACCTAACACCCTAGATATCATTTCTGCTCCATCGATTGATTGCTGTCACTCTTAGGAAGTTTCTCCTTAGTCTTGAGTGGCTTCTCTCCTTGCGGAGGTTCCACCTGTTGCTCCTTGTCTGCCTTCTGGTGCTCCGGGGAACAGGTGGACTCCCCTCCTCAAATACAGGGACAGGGCTATCAGGTCTGCCCCAGTCCTCCTCGTTAAATTAGTCGTGCCCAGATCCTGCAACTGTTGTTCTTCGTACATTTTAGCCTCCGGCCCCCTTAATCATTTCTGTTGCTCTTCTCTGCACCCTTTCCAGAGTCTCCACCTCTTTTTGGTGTCGTGGAGACCCGAGGGGGATGCAGGATTCCAGGTGTGGCCTTCCGGGGGCTTCGTAAAGCTCACTAGAACGCCACGCGGCCTTGACCCGGCCCCCCTGGTCAGTGCATTGAACTGCAGTGGCAATCGGCTCTCTTTGTCCGAAGGCCCTGCTGAGGGGGAACACCCTCCACCAGTTCTCCCACCAGCGGGGGGGGGGGGGGGTTATGTCCACCTTGGGGGCTGAGGGCAGACTTGCAGCCTCTGGTTATTATTACCACCTTTATGTACAACCTGTGTCCAATGAGGTGGGCTGAGCCTCCTTTCATGCACCCCCCGAACACAACTCACAGGGAGGACAGAAGGCCCTGACCCAGTCAACCAACCTTACTACAATAGGTGACCTTGTTGCACAACACGCCGGCCCCACAAGTCCATCCTCCTATGTTGACGTGGAGTTGCTTTCCCTTCAGGAGTCTGACAGCCACGAGGAGAAACTGTTCTTCAGCCTGTTGGTGCGGCTGGCTCTGCTTCTCTGTCTCCTTCCCGATGGCAGGAGAGCGAAGAAGGGCTGACCGGGGTGTGAGTCGTCCCTGAGGATGTTCCTCACTCTTCTAAGGCAGCGAGTCCTAGCGAGGTCATCTAGCAGTGTCAAGGAACATCCCATGATGTTTTGTGCTGAGCTCACCACCCTCTGTAGTGTCTTTCTATCCATGGCTGTCAAGCCAGCATCCCACACCGTGTATTTGTTAGCACAACCCCGGGATGTGTTGTAGGGCAGTGATCCCCAACCTTTTTGACGCCGCGGCCCGGTACCAGCATCAGCTGGGCGCCGCGGCCCGGTACCGGCATCAGCTGGGCGCCGCCATCTTTTTTTGATGAAAACATGCTTCCGGTGAGCTTTCTACCCGGAAAAGCTCACCGGAAGCGCTGGCGCCGCCATCTTTTTTTGATGAAAACGTGCTTCCGGTGAGCTTTCTACCCGGAAAAGCTCACCGGAAGCACTTTTTCATGAAAAAAAAGATGGCGTCGCCCAGCAAGCCGCGGACCGGTAGGAGTTGTTCCGCGGACCGGTATCGGTCCGCGGACCGGTGGTTGGGGACCCCTGTTGTAGGGACTTTGTCAACCCACTCCCTATCTGAGCATAGGGCTGACCAGTCTTCTTCAGGTGACTCGGTCAGCCCGCCCCGGACCTCGGAGTCCACCTCTGAAGCCCCCTAAGGAGGAATTGGCCCTCCTTCCCCCCCTCACCCCGGGAATCAGACCCACCTCATCCCCAGGTATTGCAGCAATCTCTCTGCTGGCTTAGCGGAGACACAAGGGTTGCACGCTGGCTGGGGAATGCTGGGAGTTGAAGTCCACCCATCCCAAAGTGGCTGAGATTTAAAAGGGCATCCCTGGGGCTTCCTTCCTTCATGGCCGTGCCCTGCCAGCCACTCCCGCCCGCATCCTTGGAGAAAACTGTGTGCTCAGGGCTTCAGCAGGAGGCGGGTTCGCCTTTGGCGGCTGTTTACAGAAAGCTCAGGGGCAGATTAGGGAAGGCCAGGCGGCCTTTATTCCGCTTGACGCCCAGCAAATGCTCCCGAAATTGGGCTCCTAGGATCAGGCAGAAGGTGGCTGTAAAATTAGGAATCCGATTGGGGGAAGAGATCTCTGGGGCCTCCAGAGAGATTCCCCTCACCAGATCCCTTTTCTCCCGTCCCTTCAAGACCATCAGGCTTTGTAAACGCCCAGCAGCCTCCACTATTCCTTCTAGGGCCTTGCCAGCCAGGGGGAAAAGGGTGAGGCTGGGGGCTGGGCAGGCGTGTAGCCCTCTGGAGGGCACCAGAGCTGGGCTGGCCGATCCCTGGAGGGCGGCTGGGGAGGGTGGCAGGATAAACAGCGGTGGACTAACCAGGGTGGCTCACCTTGGCTGGAATAGGGACATGAACGGGGACCCTCGGGTGGGAAAACACCCCTCGCCAGGGGTTTGCAGCCGGCCTCCTCTGGCCCTCCCACTCTGGCCCTCGCTGGAGAGCTGGCGGGAGCCGAACTGAGCTGGCATCCAGCTCACCCCTGGCTGCCTTAATCTCCACCCGAGTCAGTCTCTCCCCGGAATCTGGCCCTGGGAAATGAGCCAGGGCCTCTCTCGATCCACTCGGTCCTCTGGGCGGCCAGATCCTCCCACCCCCAGGTCCAGTTTGCAGTCCAGCCTTGGTTCTTCTTGTGTACGGAGAGGGGAGCAATTGGCTGCCCTGCCTGAGGGATGCTGCTGTTGCTGCTGGACCACAAATGCAAGACCCCCCCCCTCCCTCGGCCTTTTTTAAGAGGCTGGACGGGTGAAGCCCCCCCAGAATCGCCTCCAATGGGGAGGTTCATTATCCATTCATAAATAAAACACTCAGGCTGAAATGCAGCTTTCTACAAATGAGCGTATTTTATTTTGTGCCGTATTCTGACCGAGAGTGCAAAGCATCCATCCACGGCTGTATCTCACTGCTCCAGGGATGAGCTGCCCCGAAAACGGACAGCAGGAAACCTCGGGGGGGGGGGGGGCATCGGAGTCCTCCATGTTGGACATCTCGTTGATTTATTAGCCCAGAATAAGATCAGCGACCCAAAACGGGAACCAAATCCAAGTTTTCCATGCTTTCTGGAACCGAGCCCCCCGCCCCCGAGGCAGGGGAGGGGCCCCCCAAGAGAGAAGCAAGGCTTCCCGAGTCCCACCGGGTGGCAGCGCTTCATGGGGTGGGGGTGGGGAAGGACTTGGCGTGTATCCCCTGCAGAAATGGCCCCCCAGCTCTGGCCTGCAGAGTTTGGGAGGCAATAACCAGCCCTTGGGCGCCGGCTGGCAGCTGGCACAGCTCACCTCCCAGTGGCGACCGAGGGGCACACGGGAGGTGCCCATGAGCCTCTGCAGCACAGCTGGGTTGGTCTTCAAGGGCAGCCCCATTTAGAGGGCACTGCAGTACTCTGACTGTGAGGCGACCAGGGTGTGAGTGACGGAAGGGAAGGCAGAGGGTGCAACTGGCGCACAGGATGAAAAGCGCAAAGGCTCGTCTAGTGGCAGAAGGGAACCCCCCCCCCAGCTGTACCCCAGTCTGGAACGGGGAAATGCGGCCCCCTCCGAGGGTGGGGACATAGCTGGGCGAGGGGGGGGGCATCATACTGTCAGGTGTGGGCAACCAGAGCCACACAAAGGGGCGAAGGTCACAGGTGGCCTGGCTGTCCGCTTGCACTGGCGGAGCCTCCACCCGGAAGGCAGCCCTCGCCCAGCGGTTCCATGCAGGTGCTGGGCAGGGGAGGACGGAGCCCGGAGCCCCGAGGCAGCCCAGGCGTGAGAGGCCCCGTGCACCATACCCCTCCCGCCTGCCAACCTGGGCTGCCCCCGAGGAAGGCATGGACCCCCCACCCCCAATGCCCCCAGCCGATCCAGGAGGAGGCTGCAGCCGACCCCTCGCCCTGCAGGGCGTCATGGGAGCCCCCCAAAACCAGGTTGGCCGAGTCCATCCAGGCCTCCAAAGGCCCCGAAGCGTCTCTTGCATGAGGGCTGACCAGCCACCCCGCCTGTCTTGGTCCTTCGGCTCCAGCTGTGCGATATGTCAGCTCTGGTCAGGCCAGTTTATGGCCGCCGGACAGCCAGCGGTCACTCGCCCCGGGCCTTCTGCTGGAAGTAGGCCTCAAAGCGGCCCTGGGCGTATTCCTGGAAGGAGGGAATGACGGGCTGGGCAAAGGGCCCCCCACCTTCCCCACCAGGCCCCCTTTGCCCCGGGGAAAGAGGGGCAGCCCAGCATCCTGAGATCCTTTGGGGCAGCCCCCTTGGTCCCTCCAGGGCGTATCGAAGTGGCCCAGAGGCTGCCTTTCCCTGCCCTGCAGGGGGTGAGTGGGAGGCAGCCCTCGGCACTCACCAGGTAGCCAAACTCAATGGTGGAGATCTTGGCCTGCAGGATGGACCAGAGGCCCCAGAAGAAATGGGAGGCCAAGGTGAACCTGGGGGGGGGAGAAAGAGTCAGCTGGGGAGGGGCCTCTGCCGTTCATGGCCCACAGAGGCAGCTTTTCCTAACCGGGATCATCTCCCAAGGGAACGAGGGGCAGACTGAAGCCCCTTGCAATGCCCCCCCACCTCCCCCTTAAAGGAAAGGGCCACAGCTCTCCACCCCCAACCCAAAGAAGGGCCACCCCCACCCCCCCAAGACTGACCGGCTGATCTCCAGAAGCATCTTGGCCTCCAGGCGGTCCTGCTCCTCTGGCGAGGGGGGGTCGGCCTTCCCACCTGCCTCCTCCAGGTAACACCGGATGAAGTGCAGCTGAGGGGAGAGGAGACAGGTGAGGCCAGCCACCTTCTGTTTGCCCTGGCTGTCCCTCGGAACTGAGGCTCCTGCCTGCCCGCCACTCCTAGGCAAAGCATCCGAGGCCCCTGGGACAATCGGGGCGGAGATAACCCAGGGCCGGTGAGGGGGACCCCCATGGGATTCAAGGAGGAGGAGGAGGAGGAGGAGGAGGCGGCTTCCGTCTGGGCATGGCGAAGACTTTCCCCCGCCGGCTCCTAGCGATTCCTGAGCAGCCTCCAGCACTCCCCTTTGTGGAAGATGCTCGTTTGGTCCATCAATCGGCTCTACCGGCCAACATCCCACCACAGTCGGGTGCAGAGAAGAGCCACCCAGAGGGCGAAAGGACCTGCAGGCTAAAACCTAGGAAGAGCAGGGGCAGGATCTGGTCTGGTTCACGAAGAGAAGGACCAGGGCCGACACGATCTCTGCAGGGCTGCCCCGAAGAGGAGGGGGGGGGCAGCCTCTTCCCCAAAGCCCCCCGAGGGCAGGCAAGAAGCAACGTAAGGAAACTGACCAGGGAGGGAACCAGCCTGGGCCTAAGGAGACGTTTCCCACCCGTCAGGGCCATCAACCGGGGGCCAGGCTGCCTTCCGAAATCATGGGGGCTCCATCACGGGAGGCTTTTAAAGAGAGACTGGACAGCCATTCCTCTGACGTGATGCAGGGCCTCCTGCTTGAGCTGGGGGTTGGACTAGAAGACCTCCCAGGCCCCACCCAACTCCTGTGATTTTGTGAAAGGGCCAAGCAGACCGTTGGCAGGTCACAGTCCTGGAGAGCAAGGGGAACCCCCCCCCCGGTGGCATTTAAAGTAAGGCTCCCAGAGAAGGAAGCAAGGCCAGTCAAGAGGCCGAGTTATGGGCTCTCTTGCCCAACTTCCACACTTGGCCAGAGAGACTCGGGGTCGGAAAGGGCTCCGTTTCCGAAGGTTCCCCAGACACCAGCTCGGTCCCCCCCCCTTCCAGGGTCATGGCTGCTGCCCACAAAGCAGGGCCTCCCAGCACAGGAGGGACGGGGAGCCGGTTGGCAAGACAGGTAGAGAGGATGGGGGCTAGTTGAGGCAACCCAGGAGTCCCCACTTCTCGGCCTGCTGCCTCAAGACTCCCACGGCAACTGCAAGCGTTGCGTTTCTTGCCGCTAAGACAACCGTCTTTCTCCGAGGCTAGAAACGCCAGGAGGGGCAGGGAAGGAGCATCTCTGCTTCCACCCCCCCGAGACTCCTGCCTGTGTGTGGCCGCATCCTTCAGGCCGTGGGGGTCCCTCCGGCTATTCCTCCAGGGTGCACGGGGAATAGGCCGGAGGCTGGGGGTTTGGGCCCTGCCTTTGACTCCACAAGGCCCCAGGCCAGGGAAGGGCAGCCCAGGCCTCTTCGCCACCCGTCCTGCTGACCCTCCCCTCCCCCAGGGCCATTACCTGCTGCTCGCGGCTGGGGTAGTTCTCCGGGCTGGCTGTGTAGAAGGGCCACTCGTCGTGGGCGTAGCTGTAGACCCACTCGCAGAAGTGATTGGCAATGTCGAAGCCCCTGCAGGAGGAGGAGGAGGAGGAGGAGAGAA